GTGCAGAAATAGAACTATTGGAAACAAGAGGTAGCAAAAATACAGAATAGTTTCTACCAAGCTAGCACAGCTTAGGTCAGAAACACTTCTCTATCCATCACTGAGGATACTGAGACTCTCTTTCAGCTCTCTGGTTAGATTGAGCACAAGCCAAGCAGAGTAGTTGTTCAAAATAAGGACAAGCACTCTTCTTGATAGAAGAGTTCTAGGCTAATAACTGAACACAGATGGCTCATGCCTGTAATCTGAGCTTCTCAAGAGGGTGAGATCCAAAGCCAACCCAGGTGATAAAATCTGTGACATTTTTATCTCCAATTAATCGCCCAAAAGCCAGAAATTAGCTGTGGAAAGTGATAGTACTCTAACTTTAAGCACAAAAACTCAGGGACAGCTCCCAGGTCCTGAGTTCAAGTCTCAGGACAGACTTTTTTTTTTAAATTTCCCTTTCATTTCATATCTGTGGACTTGCTCTTTGAAAGTTTTTCCACATGTAATCCAGCTGAGATACTATGATACTGTTGGTTTATTTTAACCATTGAGCCTTTTGTTATGTCTGTAAAGTTTGTCTTAACTCATTTAATAAAATTGTTCATCTGTAAAATAAGTCCTCCCTACACACACACACACACACACACACACACACACACACACACACACACACACACACACACACACACACAGAGGTATGTGTGTGGTGGGTAGGTTTTGTTTTGTGCTCATACTGGGGCTTGATCTCAGAGCCTAGGCTCTATCCCATAGCTTTTTTTGCTCAACGCTGGCATTTTCACTTAGCCACACTTTCACTTCTGGCTTTCTGGTGGTTAAGTTTCATGTACTTTCAAGCCCTGACTGGCTTCAAACCTCAGTCCTCAGATCTTAGCCTCCTGAGTAGCTAGAACTATACGCTAGAGCCACCAGTGCCTGACCAGTATGACTTGAAATAGAGCCCCTTTCCTTGTTTTTCCTGCCTGATGGAAATTTAGCCTGGTTGCTCTGCTGGTCACCTAAGATCTTTGTTCTTTGATTTTTGTTTTGGACTGTCTAGGGAAGATGGGAGGGAACAGGCTGGGTTATGAAGCCAGATTATAACACCAGGCTCCATCCACAAAATTAACTAAATGTGGCCTATGAAGTTATCTTTCTGGTAAGGCACATCACAGAAGATATTTGTGACAAATCCTGAAGGAGACATCATTGACTCCACTGTTCTCCTAGATCTCTGCATTCATTCTAGTGTATTAGTTTTATATAAAGTAGGAAGGTTATTTCAGTTGGCCAAGTAGATATTATCTGATCCTTTAATATACAGGAAAATTAATCCACTAGCAGAAAGACTTCTCCTAACAATATTTGTAACCCCCCTACTGCCACCCCATTACCTGTCTTTCTTTTTCTTTTTTGGGGGGGTCCGGTCGTGGGGCCTGAACTCTGGGCCTGGGCGCTGTCCCTTAGCTCTTCAGCTCAAGGCTAGCGCTCTACCACTTGAGCCACAGCGCCACTTCCGGCTTTTTTCTTTTTGTTTATGTGCTGCTGAGGAATCGAACCCAGGGCCTCATGCATGCAAGGCAAGCGCTTTACCACTGAGTCACCTTCCCAGCCCTACCTGTCTTTTTCAGAAAGGTCATGCTGAACTACATGACTCCTAACCCTTACAGCCAAGAAGTAATCAACATATTACAACAGCCTGTTTTAAAAAATAAATTGTTCTACTTAACACACACAGCATAAACCTTTGTACATTGTATATAATCTATAAAATTTTACATATATGTGTGTTTGAGTATGTGTTCTGTAACTCTAGAGAACTACCACAGTTCTCTCAAACTGATAAAAACAAAATTTTTTTTTTATATATTTATAAAGTAATATATATTTTTTGGTAATGGCACTGGGGCTTGAACTTAAGAGATTTGGACTTAAAAACAGGCATTTTACCAGTTGAGCTACATTCCCAAGGCCTTTTTGCTCTAGGTATTTTTTTTAGATAGTATTTTATTTTATTTATTTATTTAATTTTTTGGGTCCGGTCGTGGGGCCTGAACTCTGGGCCTAGGCACTGTCCCTCAGCTCTTCAGCTCAAGGCTAGCGCTCTACCACTTGAGCCACAGCACTACTTCTGGCTTTTTTTTTCCTTTTTGCTTATGTGGGAATCGAACCCAGGGCCTCATGCATGCAAGGCAAGCGCTCTACCACTGAGCCACCTTTCCAGCCCTAACAAAACTTTTGTTTAGTCACCAACCTGTCACTAACCCTCCCTACCTGCCTTCTTTCCTTTTTCTTTTTTCCAGTTCTGGGGACTGAATACAGGGCCTCACATAAACTAAGAAAGCTCTCAACCACTTGAGGTCAGCCCTTTTGTTTGCATTCCAGTTCAGAGATAGTGCTGATAACTTGCCCAGTCTAACCCCTCAATGGTGATCTTCAAGATTACCTGGAATTACAGATATGTGCTGCCATGCTTAACATGCCAAAATGTTTCCACAAAGTGATATCTTCAAAGGCCAATGCTCTATCAGATTATTTCAAAATGCTCCCATTTCTACATATATTTCATTGCTAACTAGTACAATCTGCAGACTGGCTTTGGTCTGTGTATTGGATCTTTCTTGGGGGAGGGTAGGGGAAGGAAGTCCTGGGGCTTGGACTCAAGGCCTGGGCACTATCTTTGAGCTTCTTTTGTTCCAAGGCTAGCAATCTACCACTTGAGCCACAGCCACTTCAGGCTTTTTTCTGAGTTTATTAGAGATAAGAGTCCCAAGGACTTTCTTTCCCCAGGGCTGGCTTCAAACCAAGATCCTCAAATCCCAGCCTCCTGAGCAGCTAGGATTACAGGTGTGAACCACAGCTTCCCGGTTTGTACAGTGTATTTTTAATAACCAATCTCAGCAATGAAGTTTGACATTTTTCCAGCCTAGGAAGAATGAATCCTCATCCTCCTCACCACCTTGAGTAACCTAGGTCTACTTTTCCCGGGACCAATTTTTGTATTAACGGAGTTAAGTTCAGAACATATACTTCATATTCTGACTGACACTATGTTCTAACCTACAGAACCATATTCTAAACAATGCATTCTTGAATAACAAGACTCATTATAAAGAGCAGTGACTTTTTAATCTCATTGCCTCTCATTGTGAATTTGATTAGAGAAACTGTGTGATAGCATATATGCATTCAATAAATCTATTATTAATGAGGCATGGTGTTTGCACAGAAACCATATCCAATTCCGGAATGAGGAAAATTGTTCACTGACTCATGACCAAAGTCCAGAGTTACTGACATGCTAGATTCCAGGTAACTTGCCAGCCTGGAAGAAGAGGGTGTCTTAGTCACCTGTTGTAAATTTGACTTTTCACCAGTGGCAGTAGCCCCAGGTACAGGAACTTTCTCCGGCCAATTTCCTTGGTTTGTCAGATCTTGTTAATTTTCCACTTTCTCTAGCATTGGAAGAAAACTTAAACCCCTTTAGTCTGAAAAAAAAAATGCATGGTCCCCCAGGCTTTAGTTTTACTCCAAATTTTATCTTGTAATTCTTTTCTGTGTTCCTGATGTCCTATTCAGCCTCGTTCAGCAACACAGCAAGCTCCGAACATACCTTCCTCTCAGACCCACAACTCGAAAATGTGACCGCACAGGTATTACTTTATAACCCTGATTCCTGTTCTGAGTTATATGTGGTATAGGGTACACTGACTTGATATTCCTCACAAATAAATTAGTATGGAAATTGAAACAAATGCCACGTTCCACAGAGGTTCCAAAGACATTTATTTTTCTCTTAACATTCAGCGAGAAGCGAAAGCTCAAGAAGCATTCTTGGAGAACTGGTAAATATCAGATATTCAAGTGGATACATACTCCCAGATCCTCAGAATTAATTCGTCCATGTCTTCTCTTTCTAAAGGACAGCGGCATTTTCCGTTTTCATCATCCCGCACACCAATCAGAAGCCAGACCCCCACCCCCACCCCCACCCCCACCCCCACCCCCCGAAGCTGCCTCGTGCCTGGCTTTTTAATAATTAAATCGGAGTTCCCTCAACCAGGGCCGCAGGGTTTTGACTGCAGCCGAACTCGAGAGCTCCAGCCTGGGGTTCCCGGACACCCCACGCGGGCGTGGCGTCCCCCACCGCGGGGGCCGTTATGAGAGTCCAGTCCCGTGGGCAGCCCCGCAGACCACCCCGAGGTCGCACTCGAGCACCAGCTCGGCGGTTCAAACTGGCGAGTGTGCACCCCAGGACCCCCCGATCACCCGAGCCGCGGACAGTACCAGCCCTTCGCTGCCCCGCGTCCACGTGAGCGTCCTCCCACCCCGCCGGCCACAGCGGCCGCGCCCCACTCCCGGGCCCGGCGCTTCCCCCCGACCCCGCCCGACCCCTGGGGCCCAGCGCCCCCCGCCCTATCCCAGGCCCACCCATCCTCCTCGGGCTGGAGCCGGAGCCTCGGACTCGCTGGTGCCCGGGCCCGCAAACCCCAGCGGCGTCCGCCGTACCCGAGGGACCCGCGACGGACGCGCGCGGCCCCGGCCCGGCCCGGCCCGCTGTCTCCACCGCCGCGACTGCAGGTTCCGAGCGAGCCCCTTACCGCGACGTCGTAAAGGATCGCGCGGCTGGGCGCGGAAGCCGAGCAGGGCTTGTCCTCGGGAACAGGCCAGCGGTGTGGCGTGAGGGCTGTTACCACGGAGGTGGGGGCGGGGTTCTGACTAAGAAGGTCTGGTGTGTGGTGTACCGTAGGCCAGAGACCCTGCTTAGAAACCAGCAAAGACCACCCCGGGGAGACCCAGTTCCCCAAGCCCTTCCCGAGCGGGTCTCCTGCCCCGCGCTCCTTTGTCACGCCGCCAGCCCCAGCGGGAGGACTGGGGCGCGGGCGGGGCTCGGCCCCCGGACCGGAAGGAGGAAGCGGGCGGGAAGCGAGGGGCGGGAGGCGAGGGCGGGGGCGGGGCGAGAGTGACGGGAGCAGTGAGAGCCGGAAGTGATTGGCTAGCGCGGAGCCCCGGAGAGGCCTGTCCGGCGGCGCTCTAGCCCCGCGCGCGCCGTCTCGATGCTCCTCCGCGTCTCGTCTATTTATTGTCGCGGGGAAGCGGCGGCGGCTCTGTACCCGGAACAACAAAGCCCGAAAGACGGGAGCCCGAGCCTCGGGGGGAGGGGAGGGGGCTCCTAGCAACGGGCCGGGGCGGGAGTTCCATGGAGACTGGGGAGCGCGCCCGCCTCATCTTCATCCTCGTCCTCCAGCTTCTCCTTCGCATCCGACGCCACCGGCAGCAGCGCTGCCGCCGCGTCCTCTGCGGCCGCCCCATCTTCCCACGGTAACCCCGTCGGCGACGCCGGGCGGGGGAGGCGGGCCTCGGCGGCCCGGGTGCGGGCCGCGGGGCGTCCGGGCGCGCGGCGGGCGTGCGGGCGCCCGGGCCGGCCCGGGCGGGCGGGGGCGGGGGGCTGCGGGGCGGGCGGGGACGGGGAGCACGGGCGGGCGGCCCGGCGGAGCCTGTACTTCCGAGGGGGACCCGGGGTGATAGCGGGGCACCGCGCGGATAACGGGGTGGGGGTGGGGCGCACCGCCGGGAGCGGTGCCCAGCAGGGTGCCGGCTAAGCCGCGCTGGGCTGGACCGGGAGGGGAGATCCCCCCGTGCCTCCCGAACCCTCACCCCGAGGAATCGGGGCGTGCGGTGATGCCGGGGTCCCACGGTCCCCGGCCCGAAAGACTGACTCCCGAATAGCGGCTTGGTCGGTCGGGCTCCCGCTTCTGGCAGTGCCGGTGGAAACGGTCTATTAAAATAATCAGCGGCTCACGCCCGTAATCCCAGCTCCTCGGGAAGGCTGAGATCTGAGGATCGCGGCGCGAAGCCAGCCCGGGCCGCAGAGTCCGTGAGACTCTGACCTCCAGTTAACCACCCAAATGCCAGAAGTGGAGCTGTGGCCCAAGGGGCAGAGCACCGGCCCTGAGTGCCAAAAGCTCAGGGACAGTCAGTGCTCAGGCCCCGATTCCAAGCTCTACGACCGGCTCGCACACACATAGCCACACATCTTTATCATTACTGACCAGAATTAGGCTTTGACAAGGAACGGATCTGGAATTGAGGAAGAGAAAATGAATTATGGATAAGGGTGAGCAAGGATTCGAGTAGTGATAATCGCTTAATGATAGCCAGTAACAGTCCCCCGAAAGGATAATAATGAATGATGGTTTGTGAGTATGTATTAAGAAGCTCTCCTTCTGCCAAGATGTGCATCTGCTGGCTTTGTCAGTGTGTGCTTTGCAATAAGACTCAAACTGCAGCAATGTACATCTGGAAGCTCTCTGCATCTGTCACCTGCAGTTCCAAAGCGACACTGGCAGTAACTGGTATGAGCTTGTATACTTAGGGTTAAAAACAGTGCCTTCAAATTGTGTCTGCAGAAAAGAAATTAAGCTTGTTGTGGAGTGTTTGTGTGTGTGTTGTGTGTGTACATATGTAGAAGCAATGACAGATTCCCTGGTGAAATTAAAAAGGAGAAACACAAGGAGAGGACCATAATTTGTAGTCTCTTTCAAAATTTAGGAAAATGGCATTTTATTCAAATCAAGAAGTGACAGCATTGTCTGGTTGAAAACTCAGAGTTTGGCCTGTTCAGTTTGCCACAGTTTGTTCTTTAGCCTCCATGACAAACGACTTGATGGATTTTGAGTTCCTAAAACCATTTTAGGTCAGTAAGCGAGTTTTTTTCTGTGGCACACTGGAAAGGTCACATACCCATTCAATAGTAATAACATTTTTGTGGTCATTGGGAACAAAGCTCTTAATATAAAGTTGAAGATTAATTAATGTTGAAAATTAAATTGATAATCAGGCAATTATGTCAACTACAGATTCCATTTGTACTTTTATTAAGCCTGCATTTCTTAGGCAAAACTGTGTCATGTTTGGTCCTGGTCCCCTCTTTTCTTAGTCAATGCTCAAACAGTAGGAGGAACTGTAACGATTTAGGAAAATATGCTCTCCTGAAAGAGGACTAGTCAGTTTTTTAGTCATGCGTTTTCATTTGAATCTGGAATTCAGGTCCATTGTCTGTAATTGAAGTAATTTCAGATATGTGCAAAGAGTTCGACAATTTAACCGAGATTGGAAGTGTAAATATTAGGAGACTTCAATTTTAAAACTGACCAAAAAAAAAAAAAAGCCCAGTATTATGATCTTTGGGATGATGAATGGAAAGCTTTTCTTAATCCTTTCCTGTGGCTGTGTGTGAAGGATATTCTGGGAGGACCTCACCTAAGGCTATGGATACTGAGTCCTGGGAGTCATCTTAGAGTGTAGATGAGATTTAATGAAGTTCCTCCACCTCAGGGCTGTGATCAGGCTCACTTTGGTGGAATGTTATTTGCTGAGGCTTCTGTGCCTCTGGGGTCAAGTCCTAGCTTCTTTTATTAACAATCCAATTTCTGTTTTCTTTGGTCTCTGCCCAGCACCTAGCATGTGATAATGTCCTAGTTCCTTGCCTTACTCAGTCATCTTCCAATCAAAAGAAAATCATTTTGTTACTGGTATTTTTTTTCTGTTTCTTGAGGACATTTTAGTATATGTTCTAACAGTTGTAAGTACATGAAATAAGAGCTTCATGTTGGAACTCAAAATATAGTGTTGAAACAAAAAATGTGAAAATCATTGGCCTTTTCAGAAGTCTAGGTGGTGATACTGAAGTTGTAGGCATAGTCCCTTTTTTAAAAGTAAAAGGCTCTTCAGGAGCCTGCTGTATGTCTTAAATTGTACCTTAGATTTTCATAGTACTCTGTAAACATATGTCTTTCTGATTATTTTGTATGTATTTTGCAAAAATTACATTTGCCAAATTTGCTAGCACTACCATTGTGATTTCTACATGATTTTCTTCATGCGGACATTGTTACATCGAAACTGTTGAGTGGCTCCAAATACATAGTATGTATAGAAATTTCTATAAACAAACATGAAAAATACTGCAGAATTTGTTTTTATCATAGGTGTGGCTGATATTTAAAAGTTAGCAAAGATTATAATGTGGTAGAGAAGGTGTGAGCATTATTTTTAGATAAAGGAGGGTGAGTGATTTCCTTCGGTTGCATCATAGACCATGTGATGAAATTATTGCTATGAAAAATAAAATTGTAATTGGTTTTAGAATAATTGATAGTGGAACGTTTCCACAGTGTCTCCAAATCAAAATTTGTAGGACCTGAAACTTTGTAGTTATATTGTGACATCTGAACTAAGAAAGATTTTCTGAAATGTTATAGTGCCTTTATATGCCTGCTGCCACTCAAGTGTGCAAAGCTGGATAAAAGGCATGCCCTTCGTGCAGTGTACATGGCAAAGAAACGACAGATATGGTAACAGAACATGGCAGGCATGAATTTGAATTTTAGGTAGTTTTTTACATACCACTAGGAATATAGGTGCCATCCTGCCTGGTAGATGGGAAGTTTCCTGAGGGTTAGAACCATCTCGTCATCATTGTGCTGTATGTTCATATTCTGTATGTGTGTCTTTGGAAGAGTAATGCATTTCTGATGGAGCTATGTGTTTATTTTTATTCCACTTCAGTGACTGACCCAGTAGATGAGGAACCACTCCCACCCCTCCCAATGCTAGGGCTCAAACCCAGAGGCTAATCTTTTGAAAGTGAGTTATTGTTGCCTAAAATTTTTTGTCCTGGCTGCAAAGATGCAAGAATTTCACAGATTTATTTTAACCAGATGAAACAGCAAAAGAAAATGATGAAATGCTACCCCTTGAGTGGATATTGGGTTCGCTCTTGTTACATGACTACCATTTTCAGAGATTTCAAAAGGGTGAGTCTACAGATCTGAGTTCCTTGATGGCTGCATAGACCAACTTGGTTTTTAGGATACAATCATTTGTGTAGAAGAGAGATGGAATATGTGTAGTTGTGAAAAGGGTCACATTGGAAATTCTGCTCATTAGTCTTATGAGTAAATAAGAGATAAAAGCTTTGAAATTTGGCTTAAATGACTGATTTTGTGCTAGGAAGCATGTTAAATGCTAGTGTTTAATAGCACATTAATACATACTGACCATCACAGTGAAGTGATTTCTGGGGAAATTCTGGTGTTCATTCAGATGGGAATCAATAATGAAACTTTAACAGATCATCAAAAAATGCAGCACAAAAGTTTGGCTGTTACTTTCACTGTGTCACAGTATTTATTCATTCTATATTTGGACTGGATCTAGTAGTGCATGCCTATAATCCCAGCTATTTGGGAGGTGGAAACAAGAGTTGCTGGTTGGGAAATCAAAGGAGGCAAAATTGCCAAGACTCAAAAAATAAGCCTGTAATCCCAGCTACTATGCAAGTAGAGGTAGGACTAGGTCACAGTTCCAGGCCCACCCAAGCAATGTTAGTACAAGACCCTATCTGAGAAAAAAACAAAAAGCAAAAAGGATTCAGGGTGTGGATCAAGTGGTAGAGCTCTTGGCTAGTCAGTACAAGGCTCAATCCCTAGTTCAATCCCTGGTCGGACAAAAAAAGAAAGGTCGTACGTTACAGAGTTTTCGCAGGACATGTGAGGAAGGCTGCTAGCGTTGATTTGTCCTGAACACAATAAATATGTATATATAGACACTGGTGTGTTTTGGTTTAACTTAAGACATCTTGAAAGAAATAGTACAATTTCTTCCATTAATTAAAGTGTTCAAAGAATCATGTGTTAAACTTTTTCCTCCTGATAAATTACAAGTTTTGGTTTTGTTGTTTTTCTGTCAGTTCTAGGGTTTGAACTCGGATTCCTGCTTTTGCTATGCAGGTGCTCACATGGTAATGAGCCATACCTTATTCACTTTTTGTGGAGGATCTTGAGTTTTTTTGCTGGGGCTAGCCCCAAACCACAATTCTCCTACTATGATCTCCAACTAGCTTAGCTACCTCCCTACCTACCTTTGGGCTCCCAAGTGGCTGTATTAAAGGCACATGCATCAGAAGGCCCAGCTTATTGTTGAGATGGGGTCTTGCTAACTTTTTGCCTGAGCTGGTCCCTGAAACTCTCCCGAGTCTTCACCTCCTGAGTAGCTGGGATTACAGGCATGCCCACCCTAACTGCAAGCTTATTATCAGTCAACAGTTTTGATCAATTGTAATTTTCTAGGGATTAGGATTTATACAACATTTGATAGTGTGGGCTGTGGATATAAGCTCCCTATGTATGTCTTCCCCTGCCCCGCCCTGGCCAAGTCCTGGAACTTGAACTCAGGATCTGGGTACTGTCCCTGAGTCTCTCTGTGCTCCAGACTAGCACTCTACTACTTAGGCTACAGCGCTGCTTCTGGCTTTTTCT